CCCCTGCTTGTGTTCCCTCTCTCGCTGTGTCTCTCTGTCAAATAAATAATAAAAATAAAATCTTAAAAAAAAAAAAAAAGAAAAACAATGAGGTGTGCATGAAGATACTCATTTTAGCAATAGTTAAAATAGCCCCTTCCCCAATTATTTCAATTCGTTAACCTCCACCCATTCTGTGGAACACAATACCAATGTTACTCTAAAGCTTTTAAATAACATTTCATGACATGAATAAGTACTCAAGATATACTGTATAGTGAAAACAAAATATATACAATGCACTATAATCTCAATTTAGTAAAAATACACTCAAAAACTCATATTTATATACAAACTCACAGAGAGAAAAAAGGTTCATAGGGTTGGGGGTAGGAGGGGAAGGCTGGACGGAAATACATCCAAGGGTGGTAGGATTACAAGGTAACTTTTCAGAATTTGAAGAGAGTCACATGTGCTACTTTGTATTCAGAAAATGAATCAATAGGGGCGCCTGGGTGGCTCAGTTGGTTAAGTGTCCGACTCTTGATTTTGGCTCAGGTCATGACCTCAGGGTCGTGAGGTCAGGGACGCTCCCCTCCCCGCCCCCGCGCTCTCTTAAAAAAAAAGAAAATCAATCAATAAATGTTATTTATTTTTAAAAATAAACAAGCTTCATTCACGGTTGGGGTTTTTTCTTCCCATAGTTCTGTCTTCAGCCCCATTCCCTCCCCTGGATCCTAGACTTGCATTTTAAACTGGCTCCTCAACACATCCACTGCGATGTGGGACAGGCATCTCAAATTCATGCCTAAAAACAAGTATTTCATTTCTCTTCTAAATCTGGTCCTTCCCTGTCTCTGAGAAAGTGCTAATGTCACTGATCCAGCTGCTCAGGCCGAAACCCTGGGAGGAACACTCAACTGTTCTCTCACATCCCACATCCAGTCTGTTGGTTTGTAATGTCCGATCATTTCTTACCATGTCCCGTGTCACCCCCCGAGTCTCTTACAGCCTTTTCTCAACACAGCACTCGAAGACGACTTTTAAAGGGGAGTCAGATCCTATCATTTCCTGCTCAAAATGCTACCGTGGCTTCTCATCTCACTCAGAGAAAATCCGACGAAAGCTTCTGCCCTGGCTTAGAGAATCCTAGGCTATCTTACCCCCTATTACTGTGCTTCTTGTTCCCGCTCTCAATGGCTCCCATGTCAAGGCCTTTGCACTTGCTGGTCCCAGTTCCAGAACGTTCTTTCCTCACTTATCTATACAGCTCACACCTTCACTCAGTCAGGCCTCTGCTCAGGTGTCACTTCTGGGGAGAGGCCCTCTCTTTGGCCATTCCATCTGAAAACAGTCCCCCTCTGGCCAATACTCTGCCTGGTCTCTCTGCTCCATTTTTCCTCCCTGCATTTCACCTCCTTTCATCACATTTAGTTATTTGCGGGTTGCCTGGATCCCTGCCCGCTGTGTGTTACCCTGTGTGTAAGCTGCACAGCGGTGACTTCACTGGTTTTGTTCAAGGCCACAGCTCCCAAGTCGGGAATAGGGCTTTGTGCATCGTAGGTGCTCAATAAACATTGGTTTAATGAGTGACTAAAAAATGAAGAAGTGCACAGTACAATTTTGAGTGACCCATCACCTAGCCAGCCCACCAGCCATCTCCCAAATCCCCAATCAGATCCAATCTCATTTTGATACCACCTAGGAAAGAACAAAACCTTGGGGGGTAGAACTGGTCAGTCTCCAGCCCTCATTTGAGCCCTGGCATCCCTCAGTGGAAAGGGTTAGTAAACAGTAGTCACTGCTAAGAGTCCCTCTACACACTGTCCCCTTCATTTTGCCACAAGCTGGAGATCTACCTGAGACACAAGGCATCTTACAAACCCCCAAATCTAACCTGTCATTTTAAGGAGGGAGGCGATGTCAAATCCAAGACCAAGAGCTGGTCCTCCAGGACCCTGACTGTGCTTCCCGACTGCCCCATGGGCCTGGCAAAAATAACAGGGATGATCACTGCACACTCACTAGGGTTAACGCACTCCATGGGATTCACCCACTTCCTCCTTACTACCACTCTAAGAGATGGCTTCCACTCCTATCTCCGTTTTACTGATGAGGAAACTGAGGAACAGGGAAGTATAGCAACTTGCTCAAAACTACCGAGTAAATGGCAGAACAGGAACTTGAACCGGGCGGACTGGCACCAGTCTAAGAGCTAAAGGGACATTCGTATTATCTTCTAAATAGTGAAGAAGTGGGTGCCACTGTTAAAGACATTAAAAAAATCTCCGATGCCCACTGTATAACTAAGAATACACACACTCCAACTTAAACTCCAGATCTTAGCCCTTGCCCTGAATGTGTCCAGCAAGCAGGATTTGATTACCTGTTATTCTTGCCAGAGCTTGGTAAACAGGCTCTCTATTCTTTTCTGGAGGAACAAAGAGAAGAGTTTTAAGCCAAACTTGGACAGATTAACAGCAGCCTGCCTACAGCAGAGTCTCTCAACCTTGCACCTAGAGCTCTGTTTCATTCAGAAAAACTCTCAATAAAGAAATGGGAAATTCAGATACGGGAAGGAAATGTCAATGAGGCTCTGCCTTTTCTCGGCTTGGGGATGAACAGGGAAGAACCAGGGGTGGGATTTGATGTGAAGAGGCTGCTCACTGGTGGGAGCTGAAAATCCTTGGAAGGCAATTTGGCAAGAACGACCCAAAGCTTAAGAACAGAGCCTAATCCTTGACTCGGCAATTCCACTTTTAAGAATCCACCCTGAGAAATGCACTCCAAGATTTGTCTCTGTCCGTGACAAGGTTGTTTACAAAAGGAAAAAAACTGGAAAGACTCTAAAAGTCCATTACAAGGAGATCAAGTGAAAAAAATTATTATTGAATCGATACAAATTATTCCATATCTATTTCATGGAATACCACATAGCCACTGAAAATGATGTGGTGTAACTACTAAAAATGGGATTATCGGGGCGGGGAGGGGGGAAGCATACTACAAAGTATTTCATGCACTATGTCCCACTTTAAAAAACACTTTTATGCAGGAAAAAGACCAGCAAGAGGTTAGTGAGATTACTGATGTTTTGTTTTTCTTGGTATTTTTCCATATTTTATGTATTTTTGAGAATGACTATATAATACTGTCATCAGATATCAAACAATGTTTAAAGGGGAAAAAATTGCAGAACACAAATATTGTGTGTATAGGAGGGTGGGAAGAGAGACACACTGCTGCTGTCACGGCTGTTGAAAAAAAAAAATTCTCGCCTGAAGATGCAAGCATCCGGACTCGAGCACAGCCAAAGGCCCCAACCGCCTGGACGCCCCCAAGAACCCAGCTCCTCTTTTCAATAGCCTGATACACCTTACTTGGCAGAGGCACATCCTGTTCTGGAGAAGCAGTTTTCAACTACTACTTAAATTCTAAGAAGACACACTCTGCAAATGTTTGATTCAAATCTTTTAAAGTATCATAAAAACTATAAAAACAAAACACTTTCATGAGCCAACATCAAGTCGTGAAGATACGGCTGAGGTGTGCTAGCTCAGCGAGGCTCTGTGTAGCCCACGGCCTGGGATCGAGAGGGGAAGCCATCAAAAAGAATCCCCGCCATTTGCAAACACTTCTCTCTGCCGATCAGGATTCCGCCAATATTAGACAATTAAATCAAAGCATGAATGAACGTCGAGGCTCATAAAGACTGTTAATGTTCACACATTACCCCTCACTTCAAATGCCCGTGTTCAACTAGACAACCTCATCGTCCTCTTACGTTGAATTAAAAAGAGTTGTAAATATAAACCTATAAACAGAGTTTATAACAGGGTTTCAACCTTGGCACTACTGACATTTTGGATCAGATTATCTTTTTGTGTTATTCTGCTGTCCTGGGCACTCTGCTCACCAGCATTCCCGGCTTCTGCCCACCAGCTGCCAGGAACACCCCCGCGGCTATGGCAATCAGAAATGTCTCCAGACCTCCCCAAATGTCCCCTGGTGGGCAAATTGCCCCTTGTTGAGAACCACTGCTTAATACTGACCAACACGGCATTCATCTATTTTCTGTTGCAGGTCTTACCTACTAGTTTAGCGGATTAAAAGAAGTTCTGCTTAGAAATAAACTGGTTTCAAGTATAAAGGTTTCCACTTCGAGATTCTGGATTCCAATCTTGATGCTACCCCACCAGCTGTTTGCCTTTACCTACCCTTTCCGATCAGCTGCGACCTCACCTGAAAAATGGGACTAAGAACAGGTGCGCTGGATTACATGCGACAAATGATGCTCTTCAAGAGTTCTTAGGAGCTCTTCAAGAAATCAAACCTACTAATGCCATGGTTGCCAGGAAGGGTCCAGGGCCCGGAGGGGCTTACCTGATCTCTGCAGATTCTTTCGATAGCCGCTGAGATTGAGCTGGGTGATGGTTTCAGACACATGTGCGACAGCCACCTGCACGTGCTTTTCGGTGAAGTCGTAACACCAGGACAGGTTCAGCTCATCCAATCTGCACACCAGAGGAGAAATAAGGAAAGCATGAAACCAGGACACAGGAACGAGCTCTAGGAAGCACAGTCTCAAAGCTGCAAAGAAAACACAAAGCCACAGATTCCTTACCATTTCACGCATAGAACCTCTGCTTCTCTAAGCAGCTACCTCTGCTCACCTGAAACTGCCTTCTCCCCTCCTGACACAAATCCCCTGCCCTGGTGTGCCCTAGAAAGTTGCCAGGGGATCCGAGCCCAAGTCTTAGTGAGTGATGCCCCCTTCTGGAAATGGAGGGAACACTCTCCTCTCCTCCTCATGGCTCAAACCTCATTACGGGACTAGATGGAACAGTTCTAGCCTCTTGTTTTCTTTCTCAACCACCCAGGTTGTCAGCAAACAACCACAGAGACTGAACAATCACTCGAGAGGCTTTAAAAATTCGATGGGTTATACCGGGGATTCTCAATAAAGAGACGCTGACGTTGCAAAAGGCCACTTCATCTTATCTGGCTTCTGCTGACTGAGCAAATGAATTCAAAAACAATATCCAACGATTAAGCCACACACCCCATTCCTGACATTGCTGAATACACGTAGGGTTATACATTTTTACCTCATGGATAACACCCTTATCCAAAGGCAATCTACTTTGAGCAGATCATTAGCGACACAGGTAGAATGCTAGAGCAGAAAGATCAAGGGATATTAAAAAGGATGCACACACACACAGAGTATTTTGTGAGCCACGTCCTCCTCTTACTTAGTAATATCTGTAACTGTAACCTTTATTTATATACTGACATTATTACATGATATAAAGATGCTTTTAATGGAGTCACCCAAATTTATGGTGTCTGCATAAGTTAGGTCTACAGATACTACAGGAAAAAAGCCTTATAGTCAGGTATAAACAGATTAATTTCGATAAACACATTACCAAATTTTTCTTACTTTCATAGTAAAAAAAAAAAAGGGGGGAGGATTACTACACAAGTCTTCTGCAAACCTAACTGATCTGGCTCCTCAGTTTGAACAGAAAGTTTAGAGGGTAAAGGATACTGCGTATCATCAAGAGCTCAGAGTTAGGAATAGCTCAAGAAATAGATCTAATTCCTCGCTCCTGTGGGGGATAATTGTAGATTTGCAAAAACAGTTCTATAATCAAGTTTCAAATCTTTCCTACCTGGAACAGCTGCTCAGCAAGGTCTTCAGGGCAGATTCGGAGAACCCAGAACACCCAGAAAGATTCAGTCGCACTAAATTTGAGTTTTGTGCAAGATTACTGGAAAAAGAAGAAAATGTCAGAGGAATACCAATAAGACACTGTTACTCAATTAATAAGCATTCTGAGGAAAGCGGGCTAGAGAAGTCAGGAGATAAGCACGCAGGCCTTCGAGCCAGAAGTGAGTTTCAGTTCATGTCTCACTCTCTGTATGACACCAAGCAGGATGCTTTGCCTCAGTTTACTCATCTGTGAAATTGCAGAGTCAGTACCTTCTCGGTACGGTTGTCACGATTAAATTATATAATGTGATAAAGGGCTCAGCACAGTGCCTGGCCCAAAGTAAGCACACAAGAAACACCAAGAATGTAAGTTTTAAATTGAAAAGAGAGTGCCTGAATAAACATTATTTCTATTTCACCCATAATTAGAATTAGCCTGTAGGCCTACTTCTACTTGTTGAGTCTCCAGGTTCCTCCAATTAAACATCTCTCAAATTTGACCTCTCTACATTCCCAAATGCCTGTGTTAGTGGAACTCCCTGATTAAGAGCGAGAGTTCTGGAACCATATTCTATTGCCAAGTTCCAATCTTGGTTCTGCCACCTACGAGCTGTGTGACCTTGGACAAGTTATTCAGCCTCTCTGTGCCTCAGTTTCCATATCTGTAAAAAGGGGAACAATCAGAACTTACGTCGTGGCTGACCTTTGAAGAACTGAGTATCTGGCACATAGGAAGTGCTCAATAAACGCTGGTACTTATTATAATTATGATGATGCTGGTTTTTTTTACATCAGGTTTCATCATTTCTCACCTGAATGAACACAACGGTATCTTAACTAGTCCAGTTTTTTCCACATCTGGTTAACACTCCAAGGTGACCAGCAGATTTTATTTCTAAATTTCAACTCTGCACGTTCCCTCCATTCTCAGGACCACTCTCTTTAGCACGCTTCCCTCTTCCAAGCCCACTGTGGAGTCTGGACTTCCTACAGCATGGCAGGGGCCCATTACGAGCCGCTCCTCCCCTCCTGGCATCTCAGTGCACCCTGTGCCCTAACAGTTCTCACCTGCTACAGCGTTTAGAACCACACAGGCAGCTTTACCTCGTCGGCTTCTTTACCTCACCACGTGGAGCTCTCCAACCTGAATACCTTCAATACTCCACATGAGAGTCACTTCCTCTAAGAAGGCTGCCCTCCCTCAATTTAATTAGGTCTCTCTGGGTGACGCCACATATAACAAACACAGTGCACAGTAATTATCTGTCTCTCTCACGAATGAGGCAGGGCCCATGCCCTTATTCATCATCCTTGTATGTCTAGAACCTGGCATATGCATATAGGCAGCAGGCAAACTTGGGTTGCCTGAACGAGTCCTGCAAAGTACTGGAGAAGCTGGGGCACCCCATGGATATTTTCTGAGTCCATCTGGATATGGACAGAAGGGCACCCCAATTATATTCAGGAAACAAAGTTAACACACACAAAAACAACGGCGTTTGTCACATGCTCCTGACTGCCACTCACTTGACAATGGGATCCGACAGCTGCAGGCCTTCCAGGCTTAGGTTCTGCAACTTGGAGCACTGCGACAGAATGCCATGGAGGGTAGACACCTCGATAACAGAGTTGGACAGATCCATGTGCTGCACACGGAAAGGGCTGAACACAGAGGAGGGGAAAGAGAGGCTCCATTAAGGTGGCTCACACATGTACCTCCAGATCAAATCCAACCCCATCTCCTCCCCAGATAAGCAGCCAATCACAAACATGACCCTAAATATACATTTCAAGTAGTATAGTTTCCGTCTTAAAATGAATTGCTACTAAATAACTCCCTCCCCTCGTTCATTTTAAAATTTAGGATTTTAGGGGGCGCCCGGGTGGCTCAGTCGGTTGAGTCTGCCTTTGGCTTAGGTCATGATCCCAGAGTCCTGGGATTGCACTCCTTGGGCTCCCTGCTCAGTGGGGAGCCTGCTTCTTCCTCTCTCTCTGCCCCGCCCCCCAAGCTTTCTCACGTGTGTGCACTCTCTCTCAAATAAATAAATTCTTTAAAAAAAATAAATTAATTACGTTCAGGAGGATTTCTGCCAAGTCAAGATGGTGCTGCCGATATAGTCCCACTTAGGAAATTAATTCGTGGGCATCATGAGAATGAGCTGAATCTGGGTGACAAGAAGATTATGCCTATGAATCTTCCTGACAAAGGTGAGTGAGTAAATTACTAAAACAGAAAAGACAGTGGAAGAGCAAGCTGTAAAGGGCTTATATTGAGCTACCTGGAAGAAACGCAGTTGTGAAAGTTTCTAAGTAACTGGGCCTAGGAGTTTGTTTGAAAGAGAGGGCTGAACCAGAGAAGAGAATCTGAAAGTTCCAGCACATCTGTGGGTGTCTAAGACTGTGTGTCCAAGGACAGTGTGTGGATCAAGAGAAGGCAGCCAGGGGCCAGGGACAGAACCCAGAGTAGCAGAGGAAAGTGCACACGTGAAAGGGGACCCAGAAGGAACAGGCACGGGAGAAGGATAACCACCAGGGGATGAGGGGTGCTGCCATATGGCCATGGAGGGAAGGGGAAAGTATCAGAGTGGGGATGTAGGTTTTGTCCTTAACTCTGCTGTCCTTAGCTTCTTTTTCTGTTCAGTACCTAGTTATTCCACTCAAGTCTGAGATGGCTCTAAACCATACTGCAAAAACTATCAGTAACAGAGAAGTAGTCTTTCAAAATCTTCCACAAAACGAACAAAAAGAGGGCATTCTTGCTCAGGTTGCAAATTTGTCCCCCATAGGATCGGATACCCACAGCTTCAAGTGAGAAGACTCCTCACGCTTTGTCTTCATCAGAAATGGGCAGCGTGGCAAGAGCGAGGCTGCCTTGCATCTGGTAGTGAGTGCTCCACATGGCTCCTGCCCCTTGGGACCCAGGATGCCCATCCTCCGAGGACCCCACTTGAGAAGCAAAATGTGCATCCCTGACCCCCTGGAAGAGCCCAAGAGTAACTCTGACTTAAAGTGGGAATGGCATCACTGAAACCTGTTCCATGTTTCAACACAAAGACCGCACAGCAAAATGCAATTAGCATTCCATTGCATAGACTCGTCACAGGCCGTAAGGCTGGTTACAGGAAAGGAAAAAAAAAAAAAGTTTCCATCTGTTTCTACCTTAAGTCTTACAAACAGCCTTTTCTGGGGATTTTTCTTTTTTACCTGAAATGTTCAACCAATGGTTGATCCATAAATGATCGTGGGCAGCGGAAGGCAACCACCCCTCGAGACAGCAACCGACCAATCACATCTGGGTGCAGGTTTCTACCTGTGAGGTCTAATGTCTGCCACAGAGACTCGTCAAACCTGGAAAAGGGGGGTAGTTAGTAAGCTGGGGGCACTGGATACCGGAGGGCCCCACCACTGCTACTCAACAAGGAAGCTTTGGCCACTAAGTCACCTTGGAGCAGATTCTAAAGGAAGCTTTGGTTTTGAGCTAACTGCACAACTAGCTATGGTATTTTTTTTAGGATACAATTGCATATTTCTTGCTCATATCATGGATAAGCTTCCACCTTCAGCTGTACACACACACACACACACACACCCACACACACCCACCCCTGTAGGTATTTCCTTCAGATGGTTCAATGCTATCATTAGCAATATAATGATCTGGAACTGGAGAATAAAATTTTAGTGTTCAATACAATTTGATAATTTTAAAAATGATTGCTCCAATCATTTAACTAATTAATGAATAGGTAGGTAGATTCAAAATGGCCTCAATGATCCCAGTTGCTGTTTTGGTAAAGCATACATGAGTTACCACAATTACCCTAAGTAACATGGAAATACAACTAAAAGGAGGAAAGTTAGTGCTACGGCTGATCTTTGCAGATGGGCTTGAACTGAGCAGGTTCACTTGCATGCAGATTTTTTACAGTACCATAAATGTATTTTTTCTTCCTTATGATTTTCTCAATAACATTTTCTTATCTCTAGCTTCCTTTATTGTAAGAATAAGAGTATATAATACATATAACTTAAAAGATATGTATTAATTGACTGTTTATACTATGGGTAACGCTTCCGGTCAACAGCAGTCTATTAGTAGTTAAGTGGGGAGTTAAAAGTCATATGTGGATTTTTGACTGGGCAGGGGGATCAGTCCCCCTTAACCCCATGTTGTTCAAGGGTCAACTACATTATTAAGAGATGACTATCAAATATCTATGAGAAATAAGGAACCCTACAAAGGAGTTCGGGTGTTTTACAATACCCTTTAAGCTTAAAAAAAAAAAAAGTGTATGCGCGGACAGAAATATATATATATATGTATGAACTAATGTGAAAGGAGAAACATTACTTAGATTTTGGATAGTGTTTCTAAAGCAAAAATGAAGTATGAAGTACCAAAATGTACTAAAGAGTACAATAAGGTAGCTTTAGCAGCCACAGATTAATTCAATTTAACAAAAAAAAAGAAAGCATGAGATCCACCACAGGAGGGAACACTTTAAATGCCTACTACACTCGTATTTTTTAATACTGCTTGAAATAAGCAGACCACTGGCTGGGCTCTGGAATAATTCTGCGTGATGAAATTGTCAAGGCATTACGTGACCTCTGTTATTAAGAAGGCCGTGCTTCACAGATGCCGGCTATTACTTGTATGACAGTGACGTGAGGATTCATAGACTCTGCATGAAGAGGTCAGCTGGCTGACAAAGAAAATCACTATGGGGTCACCCGGGAGCGATCAGCGCACCTCCACCACCACTCGCTCCAGCATTCCGGGTGCACACTCCCGCCCCCTGGGGCTCTTCTAAGCCAGGAGCCCACTCCTGGAAATGCTTGCGGTGTCTTACTGCCCACACAGCCCTGAATGGAGGGGAAGGTGCTCTTGCCATCTCCCAGTGAGAGCCCTAGATACGTGGAGGGAGGCAAGGCGCAGATGGCCTTCAAGCGCAAAGGATGGCTAGTGGTTGGCTGGAGGTGACAAGTGGAATTGATGGAAAAAGTTCCAACTGAAAAACAAGGCCTCCCCCACCCCGCCCCTCCTGGCCTGTTACTGCCTCCAGCACACCAGGACTTTCCATGCGCAGCTCACCGTGCAAACCTGAAGGTGTGCCCCCAAACCAACAAAGGCATCAACGACTCCTGGCGGCCATGTGCCGCCTGCTTCCACGAGCCAGGCACCGCACCGGCATCTTCGGATTTCATCCTCATCACTGCCCTGTCTGGAACATACTATGACCTCCATTGTATATGTGGCGGGGTGGACCGAGGCTCAGAAGTGTCAAGTATGTCCCCCGGTCACAGAGTGCTAAGTGGCAGAGATGGGGTTCACACTGAGGTCGAATACCGCTCTCCCTATTGCACTCAGCGCCCAGCCCCCTCCCCCCACCCCCGGTGTGGGGAGTGGCCAGGCCCTCATGCAGCCCCCTGCAGCCCCCTTCACTTCTAGTGCATCAGATGCAGAGTCAGAATCCAATAAGCGCATGAATACAGAAAGTTTTCTGAGGTGGGTAAGGTTACACCTCCAGGAGACTCCTCCCTTCCACTGTGAAATGAACACCCTAATATTCATAAAAATACGAAGATACCTAGTTTGCTTTCTGCTCCTACATTTTTCCTAGTTTTTAGTTTCACTAGGCCCAAATGAATAAATAAATAACTCTCCCCTTCTTCCACACATATACCAAGAGGGGTGAAAAATACTTACGCTAGGTGATACCACCTCTTACAAACACTGGAGACCTTTAGGAGTTCAGGGAGGCACAGACAGGAAAAGATCCCTAAGAGCAGCTCGTCTGGAAGTGAGTCCCATGAAACACCTTTAAGGGAAAAAAAAAAGTGTTTTCTCATCACCATTCTCTTACCCAATCAAGTCTACTCAGTCTTTTCATGCTCGTCAAGGGTACACAATATTGAACTTAAAAGGGGAATTTAACATGAATCGAATGACTCATCCCACAATTGTTTTTCTGTTCACTCATGGTCTCTGTACCCAGGGGTAAGCACCACACTTTCTCAGCAAAGGAGAAAAGACAAAACCAAGAATACTTTTTCATACCGTTTTTGTCTTCAGCACTTGCCGGCCAACCTTAGGCAAGGCCCATATTAACAGTGGTACACACCAAGTCCCCACCCCCTCAGAGAGCGTTCAACGATGTCCAAGGTATGATGCCTCTGGTCACTAAGAAATGCCTTGTTTCTCTCAGAAGTGGATTTGGTGGTGGATTTATTGAGTAGTGTAGTGACCTTATCTAAAAGGCAAATGAAGTTTCTTCCTCCTCCTTTCAGATTTATAGAAAGCACTCAGAAGTCAACTTGCCTACAAGTGCAATATCCAAAGGGTGCTTTCATGTACCTCTCCACTTACTATGGTGCCATGAAGCACTTTAGGTGTTGAGGAGAGAGCAGGAAATAAGACAGACAAAGCACTTTAGCTTCATAGAGCTTACATTCTGGTGGGAGGAAATAATCACACATAAAAAAACAAGTAAGTTACATGATATGTAAAAACTGGATTATTGCTATGCAGAAAAATTAAGCAGGGTAAAGGAGAGGATAGGAAGTACAGGGGCCAGTGTTCAGAAACTCAACAAAGAGGTCAAGGAAGGTCTTACCGAGACAGTGATCACCGAGCAAAGGCTCGAACAAAGTGAGGGAGCCAGCCCTATGAGTACCCAGGGTGTGTTCTAGATACAGGGAACAGCATGTCTGTTTTGAGGAACAGCAAGGCCAGTGCAGAAGAAGAGCGAGGAGAGGGGTGAGAGAGGATGATGAGGTAGAGAAGTGAGAGGGGCCGGGTCATGCAGGACTTTCTACATCATGATGAGGACTCTGGCTGTGATGCTCAACATCATGAGGAACCACTAGAGGGTTCTGAGCATAGAAAGTTCTAAAAGCACTGCTCGGGCTCCTGTGTTAAAAATAAAAAACTGGAGGGGGAAAAAAGGTAGATACATTAAGGTCAGTTTTGTCTTATAAAAGCAATTTCTAAATAGAATTCTTACGTATGAGCATACAGAATAACCTACAAGAACAGGACAACAGGACAATGGCCAAGAAGGAAATGAGTATGAAGCAAAGCAGCTGAATGCTTACATTAGTTCAGTAACTCATCTTCCCAGTCTCCCTCTGCCCCCAATCGCTCTTGTACACCAAGCCTAGTGCTATCCTCTCCCCTCTGTGACGGTTCACTTCACGTGTCAATCTGACTGAGTCAAGGGGTGCTCAGAGGTTTAGTTCAACAGTATTCTGGGTGTGTCTGTGAGAGGTTCCTGCATGAGATGAACATTTGAGTCCACCAACTGAGAAATGCAGATTCCCTTCCCCAATGAGAGTGGATCTCATCCAATCCAAGGCTGATGAGAACAAAAGGCTGATGAAGGGAGAACATGTCCCATGGAAGTACAAAGATTATTTAAAAATTTGAGCTGGGACATGGATCTCCTCCTGCCTTCAGAGCTGGACTGGAACTTAACCATCTGCTCTTCTGGTTCCCAGGCCTTTGGACTGCAGATGCTGGGACTTTTCAGCTTCCATAACCGGATGAGCCAGTTCCTTATAATAAATCTGCCTACGTCCCCTACTTGTTCGGCGTCTCTGGAGATCCCTGATTGCTAACACACCGTCCCTCCCCATCTAAAAGGTGTCAGCATTTACTGCACAGGTACACCGTGCCAGGCTCTGCAGAGAACTTGATGGAGAAAAGCTGCCTCGGGTTAGTATTCTCGGGCAATCTTTCTAAAACAATCATGCCCTTCCGTCAATTAGAACCTTTCAGTGGTGCCCCCAAATATGTAGCCTGAAGTCCAAACTGCTAGGCATGAAATTTAAAGCTTTCATGTCAGGGCCCCACTCATTTTTCTCGGGTCATTATGTAGAGATATGTTCCAGCCATTTGGACCTACGTGTAATTCTCAGAATGAGTTGTTCTGTGCCACATCTCAGTAGCCCTGTACACACTGTGCCTGCCCCCAACTGCTACTGATTTAAAATCAAGTTGCTATTAAAGCCCTGATGCCTATGGAAGGCTTCCCGTGACATCACCAAGAACAAGTCACTTTTTTTTTAACCACAATTTTATTATTTACTTACTTATCTGTTTAGCCCCTGCCCCTGCTGGGCCCTGAGTTCTGGAGAGCAAAAAAATGATTTTTTTTTTTTTTTAAATAATCTTTGTACTTCCATGAACTAGCTCAATGTCTGATACATTCGTCCATGCATATATTTATTGAACATGTAGTCTATGCAGGTGTCTGTTCTACGAAGATGCATAAGGGATGGCCAGCTCAGAGTTTGAGAAACAAACAGGAAATTTCAGTAAAGTATCATAATGGGCTGCAACAGGGTTCATGGTGCTGTGCTGGGTGTGGTGGTAGAGCAGTGATCAGGGAAGCCTTCCTGGAGGAAGTGGCCTCTACTGAAAAATGAGGAGGTACGCAGCTGCTCAATGAATGACTACCCACCCTCTCTGGAAGACAAAATGAATCACTGTAGCCCTGAAACGAGGGGTAAACAGATAAAGGCAGATCATCCCTGCTGACCCTGGACCATGACCTGGGGAGGCAAGCTGGAGAGGACCCGGAAGCTTCTCCGTGTGGCAGCAACCCTCCGTCACCACCACAAGGCTCCTCCAAGCTCAGCATGGGCAGAGGACAGAGGCTCTCAAACAGGGCTCCTGCTCCGCCTCCCAAACTGGAAAAAAGCTGATAGTGTTTTCTAAGTTTTCCTTCCATTAATTCTTCTTAACTCCCTGACCTCTGTCGCCTCTTGCCCTGTAGATCAGATTCTAGCAGTTCATTTGGCAAAAGATGACACACTTAGTTATTCTGAATCTAGTAGGCTGAGACTGCACTACGACCCGTCAGCTCATCGGGACACCAGGTGCTTGGCCTCCCCGAGTGCAAGAACTGCGGGAACGCACCTCTGGTGCCCAAGTTTACAAAGCTTGGGCATGTTACTTAATCCCTCGGGCTTGGTTTCCTCATCTGCAGGAACTCGAATAAAGGGATTGATTTTGCAAAGTAGTTCCCTATGAAGACTAAATAATGTAAGGGAAGAGATCACGCAGCAGAGTCAAACTTCCTTTCTCCTTCTTGACTCGTTTTTCTCCTCTCTCCATTAAATCCGTGCCTTTGCCTTTTGTGAGGACCTTTTCTTTCCAATCCTGTTTGGAATTTTCACCTGTTTGAAAACACACCAGGTTTTAATAGGGTTTGGACAAGGGCTACGTGGTGTGATTTACTGAGAGCCCCAAACAGCGCTCTATCTAAGTTTGGGATCCCCAGAAGCAGAGCTGGAGGACCTGAATTCAAATAGTTTATTTGGTAAGTAATCCCAGGAAGAACTGGAAAGTGAAGAGATATGGAAGGGAAGGAAGCCAGCGCGGGGTATGTTAATAAGCAGGTTATGGCCATGGCCAAGTGGAGTTCAAGTCTGCTGGGGACTCCAGGAGACCCTACAGCTCCTGCCCTAGAGCTGTCCCAGCTGAGGGCACAGGGGCTGGGGTATTAATCCACCAACGCCTGTCAGTCACTGGGTGGGGGCTTCAGGGAGCGGGGCAGACATGTTACCTCCCCACACGCCTGCCCAGAGAGGTGTCAAGCAGGCACATCTGCATGCAGGAGAAAGCCTTTGGCATATAAAGGAGCGCTGAGCTCCAAGGGGCTCTCGATGGGCTGCCACGCATCTACTAAAGACGGTGGGAAAGGAAATTAGGGAGACTTCTTGTGAAGGGCAGGGTGGGAGAAATAAATTAATGAATTTAGTGTTTATTTTATTGGGAACACATAAGAAATCAGAAACAACTGGAACAATATGAGCTAGGTAATGATAAGGCTTGAAGGAAAACTAGTCAGAGCAACGAAGGCAGAGGTTTGCAGGGGACGCCGAAGCCGGGCACTGAAGCCAGGCCAGTAATACTGCTAGAATGAGGAGGGCCTTGCACTGCAGCTTCTACCTTCATCTGTCCAACTCCTACTCATTCATCCTTCAGATCTCAGCTTAAACGTCACCCTCTCCGAGGAGCACTCCCAGGTCACCATCGCAGCCCCCAGACCCAGACTGGCAGACCCAGTACACAGCGCTATACCCGGCCCCTAGGCAATCAATAAATCTTTGCTGGATGCATTATACCTTTTACTTTCCCTTCATGCCGTTTGTGAATGTGCTAATTTTGTATTTGTGTGACTGGTTAACCTCTGCTAGCCAAGTAACTAGTACACACCCAGTGCCTAGGGGAGGGCCTGGCAATGAATATCAGAAAGTGCTCAGCTGGTATTTCACAAAGGAATGACTGACACCCAGAGGAAGCATTCTGGCTTTAACGCAGAGACAGGCAAGACTGCTGCTGCCTCTGAAGACCAGTTAGGCTCCTCATCTGTAAAATGAGAAGGCTGGCCTATGGCTCCGCTTCAATAAACATTCCTGGGTGCCGAATAAACACAGCAGTGCTGGGAGCTGCGTGTAAGCCACAGTCCCAGCCCCGCTTGGGAGACAAACTAATCAACAAACACATAAGCTCGCATTTAAAAACTGCTGTTTACTGAAAGCATTTATTCAAGCACATGGACTCGAAACACAGCAACCCTGCGTATTCAGTATATGTCATTTTACCCATGAGGAAATTGGTCTCAGGAGAGTTAAGTAACCCCACCAAGGTGATATTAACTGTGGGGCGGCAGAGCCAGGAGGCAAAGTTGGGGCTGCCCTGTCTGAGCATGCCAAAAGCCCACGCCCTGAGGTGCAGGCGTAGACACAAGAGGTAGATGTTTGGAGGCTGGTCAGGTAGCGGAGGGCACTGTACCTGCAAAGGAATGA